AAACGGATTATTCAAAGTAAATTAAGATTGGTATATGTTCAGCTGTAATTTTTCGTCTTTTGATATTGCATAATACTTGTTCTAATTCTTCAAATCCGACAATATTTTTCTGCACACTGGTTTTTCTCCTTCCATTCCTTGAAACATTCAATACTTGATCAGTTTGTTGAAAAAACGAGATGATTATTTTTAATCTTTTTAAAATGGATGAAATGAACCAGCATACTTTAAATTTTCTTGATACAAACGAGCGATAGTTTCTACTACTACCACTTCTACTTTTCTTCAAAATGTTTTGTCTATGCTAATGAATGTGAGACTTAAATGTTGGTGTTACTATATCAATGTAATGTATTGTATTTAATATGTGCGCCTCTACGTAGGTGTGCAAAAAACTGTAGTTTAAGCGAAATTACGGTTTCCACTATGAGTTTTAGGGGGATTTCTCCTTGAAAAGCAAATCTCACCAGTATTTGGTGGGAACTTGTATCCTGATAGGAAAATATGTTTTTCATTATTTCAACGATTATTTAAAGACTCATTTACCGTTTTCTTTTGTATCATACTGGTACTTGAATTATTTTTGTTCATACTTCCACTCTTTTATCCCATTCTACTCTGGTAGAAAAGTTTAGTCGAAGTCTATATTATGATTTCTCATAACATAACATAGCTAAACTACATTTCTCCAACTTTCTGCTACACGGATGAATCATAACTTCTTTGATTATTTTCTACGAGAATTTTGGTTCTCTTCAACTAATCTTATCCGACGCATGTACGTAAATTCAAATGAAAAAAGGAAAACATTTTATACAGAGCACACTTCGAACATTTCCAAGACTTTAGTCCTTCTTAGAGAAGATAATTAAAGAAGAAAATGCGACAACATCGCACACATTAATGCTGATGAAGCGCCCAAATTGAAAAGTAAAAGAAATGAGCGTTTTGAAAAACGATTGTTAAATATTATTTCTAAGCAGCATACAGATGTTTTAATACAACTTAATTCTATTGCAAGTAATATATCATTTTAACTTTTTTATTATTATTCATGTATCAAGACAAGAGTGACAATTTTGAGAAAAATAATTAATACAACGTCAATATGCTTTTTCATTCGTAGAGCGATCTTTTATATATGAGAAACCATCTGTATCGAAACGTGCTTTTTCTTTCATAGTTTAAAACGTCAATTTTAAAACTGATCCCTTAATCCCATAAGTAGATTTGTATTTGCACATGATCTATACATAATTTCATGTACAGTTTACAAAATATATCGTATACAGTACAATATAATGGTGATGCCCTTTTGCAAGAATCACACTTTTCATTCAATTTCTTTTTGAGTGACATTTCATTCGAAAGAGCGTAGCAAACTAAACAAAACCTGATATTTGAAAAAAATTAATGTTAAAATAGGAGTCAGAAAAAAGGATTTTACTGGAATTTGGGCTAATGGAAATTTATATATGTGTTATATAGCTTCTGTTATACAGCAAACAATTCTGCATCTGATGCAGTTTTTAAAAACAACACAATTGACACAAATCAGGATCAGAGTGATCCCACAAGATCCAAAGCCGAAAAGGATCAAAAAACAAAAACTATTTTAAATAATTTCTTTTCACCGGGAAATCACTCCCAGTTGAATTATCATTAAAAATTAAGTATATAAAAACCTTTTTCGTCTTTCATACGGCTTTTTTCCATAGGAAAAGTCGAGTTTTTCCAAAAACCTTGCGAAAAAAGTCAAAAAGTCACCGTTTGCTAAGATGCAGATAATTCACAATGCAAGTAAAATTTGTTTTAAACTTTTAAACTTAGTAGCCTGTCCACGCTGAACGTTCGAATGGAAGTTTTTCCGTTGCTGAAAAAAGTCATTTTTGCTAAATCAGAGGCGAAAAAGGCCGAATTCTGCCCGTAGTTCTCAATTTTTTCCATCAGAACTCAACTCTTGAGCAATAAAATATCATATTCGGAATCAAGATCAAAAACTGAGACGGTTGATGTGTATTTCGCAATTTTTAGATCATTTTCAATTTTCGGCCAAAATCTCGGTAATTTTTCAGCGTGAAAATACGGAAAAAACCTAAAGTACCCGAATAGGATAGAAATACACTTTGGTAGACTCAGTTTTCTATCTTGATTTCGAATATGACAGTCTTATTGCACGAGATATTAGGGCACTAAAAGTGCGATTTTAGTGAATACATGAGATATTAGCATATTGATTTATCACAGTGTATTTAGGTATTAAGAATTTAGGAGATTTTCCTACAATACTCTTTTCTCTTTCTTAGTATAGTACTGACGGAGTTGCGGGAGGAGGGTCAAGGAACATGAGAGTGAGTGGTGGCCCTTTGATCTCTGGAATTTGCACGGAACGTTAGAACTTTGTAATTAGACACTATCTGTTCTTGGAAAATATAAGTACCCCTTATCTGGCTTTAATGAAACGCTATTTGGAAGTATTTCTTTTATCTACTAGTAATAAAAGACTGCCAAGAAATCACACTTTTACTTCCCAATGTCTCGTGTATTTTACTAAAATCTCGGAAATTTTTGATATCTCGATGTTGATTTTTCACATTCTTGGAAATTTGATTTTCTATAATCTAGAAAATTCTCAGTGAATTCGAAAAAGAACAATTTTAGTGAGAATGCTGATAATCAGAGACTTGAAAAAGTGAAAATGGCTGAAGATAAACTTTTTCGCCACTATTAACAGCTATTCAACTTCGAAGTTGAGTGGGCGTATTATTTCAGTTTATTGGATGACAATATAGATCTTTTAATAATAGAAAGCAAATTCGACATCGACCAGGTATTGAACGACAGTTATTTTATTTCCAACTATTTAGAAAATCACCATCGAATATCAAGAATCTTGGAATTTATTTATAGGAAATCGATCAATTTTCTAAAATTAGAATGTCGCCGTCAATGTTCCAACTGTTAAGACCCAGCAAAAAGGAGTTTTAAGAAAATGGGGGTTTTCAGGCTGTCTTGACCTAATATCGAAATATTCATCATTCACTCAAAAAGGATCAGAAACAAGAATTTTCCATAAACAGGATAGCAGAAATACTCTAATGGATTCGAAAATCTTGCTAATTCATTAATCATATTCATAATCGACAATAGCAAGACGAATTTCATCAAATTCTCTGGACTTATGAGAAGGTATTTGATATCTCGAAAATTACTCAAGCAACAACTGCCGCGGCACGTACAATAAGCACGGTCGATAGTCTACCTATCAGTTCAAGACCGTACCCGAAAACGGTCCAGCAAATACGTAAACTACAAGAAGAACTCTAAAAAATGTTGAAGAATCATCAAATACGTCCCTCAACAGCCCAACGCCAAAACAGCTGATTTTTGGATTTCCACCGATTTTCTTTGATTTGTTTTGGAAAAGAAGTGAAGACTATGATACAGTGCAGAATCTGCTTATTTGTACAAAATGGGAATCAGGCATAGTGAAAGTAAAGAAAGAAAAGATAAAAGAAATATTAATGTTATTTTTTACTCATTTGCATTACGCGAGATAGACGACCAACAGACAACGTTAAATTCTCGTTTGTTAATAAATAACATTAGAAAATTAGGTACTTTTGCCGCGCAGCACCACATTATAGTAAAAATGCTGTATTAAACGCTGTATGACATGTTCGATTTTAGGACTTCTAGAAAATGCCTGTAACTTTTTGAAGATCATACAGAGTTGTGCGAGGTCTTATTTTGCTCAGAAACGTTTTCTCTACAACTCTGTGTGTTCAGAAAAATTTTAATTGCATAAGTATCCAGGAAAAAACTATTATTTGAAGACCCGGTTTTTCGGGGCTCTTAGAAAATTTGCTCAAAATCCTCGAAAAATCAGTTTTGTAACCAAAAGCAATACAGATTCTGGAAGTAGACACTTCACGCTATCTTTCCATGTACGTATCTCAAAACCGATTTTTTTGACCAAAAGTCGCCATTTCTCAGAGAGGGGGCGGGCGCTTAAATGAAAAGAAACAAGTAAAATGACTCCGTGACGGAATTACATCATTTTTTTCTGTCTTTTGTCATGGGTTTTATCGTTATATTTCTACCGGTAAAAAGACTTCTACAAACTTGATCCGCACGGAGCCTTATGCAATCAAGTGCCCTCTATCAACCTAAGCAAAAAAGAACGGTCGGGAGAAATGTTTTTGATTTTCGTAGAATTGCTCCAAAAAAAGTACCATTTCGAATGCGGCAAAAACTGGCAACAACCAGTAACAACTTGTTTAGTGTATGTGTTTTTCAAGACTGTTTCCGCAAAGTCAATAGTAAGTGCATTCTGTAGAGAATTTAATTATTTATCCACCGATATACTTTCTGAAATTTTTTAAAAAACTAAGTAGGTCAGAAAATTGAAATGAAAACACTTCTAAGTTTTTAAATTTGAATTTTCGGTCTAACAATTTGAATTTCGTTCGTTTTAAAGTTGACATATATGCAACGATAAAAGAAATGTAGCAAGATATCGGGTCTTATCACTTACTATATCATATTTATTATATAAATTATTAATATTGCGAATAATAGTAACATATTTCTGCTTTAGCTTTATCAAAGTAATTGTCATCATTTGCGCATATAGTTTTATTTTTTTTCAATCTTACAAATAAAGAGTAGCGCTGATTATTAACTATGCGTTTCTTCTAATTTTCATAAAAACTGTCCATAATTCCGTTCTGTATGTTTTTGATGGTAATACATAAATTAAAAGTGTTAACATTTGTGGCATGGCTGAAGTAAAATATCCGATTAGTAGCAAATAGTTTCTCCACGATATTTTATTAATGCATGTAAAAGTAAATGAAAATATTAGTCTTGGTAATGCTAATAATACCAATACTATTGGACTAAAAATCATATGTTTATATGTATTTATTTGTTGTTTGAATGTGACAGAAAAAGATTCATTTTTAGCTGATGATTTTTTTTGAGTGAAAACAAATAAAATAATAAACGTTGATATTAAATTTAATGTAAATGGTACAATATAATTTACAATATTTATAAACGAATTATATATTTTTATGTATGTATTTTGAAAACGTTGTACACACCATGTACGACCATTAATATCATCGATTATTTGACGATGAAATGGTTCATGTAAATTAGTTGCCATATTGCAAACAATAAGTGATACTATAATGCATTTTGCACATCTTTTACTTAATTTTGTGTTAAATTTTGTACCAGATATAACGGTGCAGGCTCGTTCAATTGATATACATGTGTTTATCCAATCACATATTGTAGGTAATAATCTTAACAAATATTCTACTGTAATACATACTAAACGACTACTATTTTTATTATTTATTATTGTTAATAATAAATAAATAAGTTTTGTAGTAAATATAACCAAACTTATTTGACCGATTATTGATATACATAATATATATAGACCACACCCAACTTCTCTACACTTTATTTGAGAAAATGTTATTATTGTTAATGTGTTAAAAGTAAAGCCAAATGTAACCATAATACTAATCATTATTAGACTTAACTTTATTACCAACGGTTGTTTTCCAATTGATTTATTCGTTTGTATTTCGGAACCAATTAGTGCATCTAATGATATTGAATACTGACTTGTTGTAAATTGACATATTTCACCATAGTAACATTGTGGACATACACAAGCATAATTTAATGGATTATTTTCATTATCTTGTATACATAAGCCACTATTTTCACAATAGTTCCTTCCAGTACATTTACCTTTATGATGATCAAAAATAAAACAATCACTTAAATGATTTTGATCACATAAACACATGTATGTTTCATCATGAAAACAAACTAATTCTTTATTTTGTCGACATGGTATTTGATAATGTTTAACACATTTTAGTGTATGGTACTTCATTATTGTTTTGTTTAATAATTCATTAATATATGGACAACGATTTTTTTTTATTACTGATGTATTACGTATTGCAGGCATGTATTGGCTGTTTCTAAGTGCAATAAGATAATAAACACCATATGAATTATATGCATTGCTAAACATTTGAACATAACCAATATCAAGTCCCGCAGTGTTTTGTAAAGATATTGTTAAAATTTGATCAATTGGTACATTGGTAAAGAAAAATCTGTCCATATGAAGCATGTGACCTGTCCTTGAAACAAAATACACTGAGGACCAATACACAACAATTACCTGATTATTTAGGTGATATTCGTTGCTAGTCGCTAAATTGTTTTCAAAACCAATACTTAATTTATCAATTAATGCCTCGCATCGTCTGCCATTATATTCTGATGTACAAATACAGATGGTATTACGTAATCCTCTTTCATCGAATGCGACACATGTACCATTATTAAGACAACTGTCATTTTTACATTGGTTAAGCTGCACATGACATGTTGGTCCCGTATAAGTTAGTGGACAAACAGATATTGGATCTGTTAATAATTGATCAAAATAGCATAATGAATGTTTTCGAGATATATCTAACGTACATATCCTGTCGACTATGTTACAATTAAGCCCTGTCCATCCATAATCACATTTACAGAAATATGTTTCGTTAATATTAACATATGGTAGACATTGACCATGAATACAATGACATTTCTTTTGATCAAGAAAGGCTTTTTCTTGTGAATCTAGTATTAAGACTAGTCGATTAACGGGTAAAAAGGAAAATTTTATATCATAGTGCCATACAGTTTTTAATTCTACAAAAGATTGAGATATTAAAAATGCATTAATTCGAACATGATAATTTTTACAAGTTCTTTTTTGATGATAAAATAAGTATAAAAGAAATTGTTCTAAAGTATCAGTATATAGATGTTGAATGGTTTGTTCATAATCAATAATTTGTTGATTATCAGTACATATTAAATAAAAGTATAATCTAATAAAAATGGCTGGTTGTTTATATGAACGAGGTGTATTTAATCGAAATATAATCGAAACTCTTTCTTTGTGATATTCACAGTTTTCACCATAATAACTCGGTGGACATAAACATTCATAATCCCAATATGGTTTTTTAAAAACAACAATACCACGATTACAAAACCAGACAAAATCAGGATCAAGATCTTCGAAATCTATTATTGGTTACAGCTCATTATTGTCTGATGCTTTTTCAACAATATTTTCTAACAAACTAAGAGCTGGATAAGCATTAAAGTATGATAATTGTTTAACAGTCGATTTTTCATCTACTGAAATTTCTGTTACATCACAAAATAAATTATTTTCGTTATCTAGACAATGCCGGATCGCGGAACATCGTCTTGATGCTGGCATCATATAATCATCTTTACATAAAAATGCTCCGACGGAATGTTTATCGAATTCTGTTAACTAATTACACAATTTATCTTCATCATCGTTATAGGGACAATCGGCATTACCGTCACATAATTGTTCTGGTGCTACACAAATTGTACTATTTTTGCAATGGAATCTTTTACTTTTTTCATTTGGATAATTATTACGACAATATCCAAGGAAACGTTCATCAATAGAACCTAGACATTGACTAATACCATCGCCAGCTAGTTTATAATTGTAACAGCTAATATTTTCATAATCATTTCGAACACAATAGTGTTCATTAATATCGCATGTATTACTGAATAATGGCGGGTTTTTTCTTTCTGTACAATTTAATTCATCCTAACCGTTTGCACAATTCCATACACCATTACATTTAGTAAACCTGTTATCGCAATCACTTAACCATTCATTACAGTCAGTTTCATCTGTCATATTATTGTATTCCATTAGTGTTACATCTATAATATGATCACACAACTGGGGATATTCATATTGAATATTTAGTTGCATTATTCCACGTAACCATTGACATGAAATATCTAAGCCGTTTAAACAGCTTTCTAATCGTACTTTTAGTACATCTTGGTCTCTGTGGGTAGTGGCACTGAAAAGTGCATAGATCAAATTCGAGAAACAGAAGATAAAAAAGTTTAAAGAATCAAATAGTTTTTTTATACTGAGAAGAATTAAGAACATCAGTTGAAACAAAATTAACTAAATAGTGCAGTAATTTAAAAAATTTTTTTGAAGTTTGCAAAAGTTGAACTGTGGGTTCAAACGAGGACTAATAAATTTTTTTTATCAAGAACAAGACTGAGATTGGAATCAAGATTGTTTTAATGATTATAATTGAAGATTTTCTGACAGTATAGTGATATTAAACTTTTTACGAAAAAAAGAATATAATTTAAGTTCCTTAAATCTCAAGTATCATGTTGTTTTATTGTCGAGTGATCAAAATAGACTGAAAATGTTCTTCTCATGCAAATCTTTATTGTTTGTATATTCACTGATGTTTTATTCTAATTAGATAGAAAAACGCTCTTGTAAGAGTGCTTTTTCTGTGCATTATATGTACAGAGTAGTATAATCAGTCTGAAATAAATTAATTACTTTAAAAAAAGTTTAAGGCTTAATGATGACGAGATTTATGACGAAGAAAAAATGGTTAGACATTAGCTCGGATAAAAAAGAAAGGGATGAACATATTAGACTACTCAAGGTTGTCTAATGTGTCCTATCGTTCACAAATTTTAGGCGGGTCTTCTATTGTGCCCCTTACAGAAGTCATGTTTTTCGGTTCCCTCAGCAATAAAACACGCAGTTCAAAACCGCAGTACTTTGCTTTACACGGTGCAGTACATTACACAAAAAAACCTGTTAATTTCACTCTTGTTCGACAACAGAAAAAGAAAAATCTCCGCATATCTTTTAAAGGCAGCTGTTTATTTTGATTTTTAATTACAACACTAATGAAACTTCTTGTAAACAACATCTTGACTTCTTGAAGTTGTGGAGTAAGATCTTGACTAAGAAAATATAAGAATTCAAGATCTTGACTTCCTGGTGTTTTTTTCATGATGTTGTGACACTTCTTAATCCAAGATGTGAAGCACAAGAAGTTTCAATAAGTTAAACGTGTTCGAGCGAATGAATCACGCTTCTCGTTATGTGCCTCTGACTGATCTGATTTGACAGAACTCGGATCAAATTTATACCAGGGTATATTATTTGGTTGAACGGGAGAATCATCGAGACAGCTATATTAATTAATAAGGGTTTTTTTTAATGTGTCCACTCATTAAGGATAAAAATAATTTTTCTAGACATCTTTAAAGTATAATCTATTTCTAAAAGACTTTTTTCTAGACCTATTAAGCAATCTTCGTTGTCGATTAAATTTAATTTTCGCCGAGGAATACATCGATCATTATTCGACATACAATGATAACGATTTATCAAATTCATATTACATATTTCTGATGTGTTTGTTATTGTTTCATCAAGTTTATTAATACAATCGATCTCACCATCAAATAAACGTTCTTTTGATATACATGTTACATTATATTGATCGCCGCAATGAATTAGATCTCTATTTGAACATTCACGATACATATCTGCTGAACAAATTGAAAAAAACTTTTGTATATCAAATAAAATGTTAAACCATTCGTTATGTGAATAATTTTGTTTTAAACCGATTTCTCCATATTTATTACAATGTAAATTATAAAGAATTATTGTTGGTTTAAAATATTGCTGACATAAAATTTTATCATAACACACATAATCTGGTATAATATCTTCAAATCGAGAAGTTTTATTGTAAATAAATTTGACTGATGGATATGCAATGGAATTATTGGAGAATAAAAATAATTCTTCGCTACACACTGGAAGAGTATATTCTGTATTCAAACATTTTAAATCATTTATATACAAGTTTAAATTTAACTTACAGAGAATATAATTCCAACACTTATTAGTCTTCAACATATTATTTGCTAGTAATAAATAACGTAAGTAATGATAATCTGCTTTATTTGTGCAAACATTGTCGTTATCTTTTGCTAATAGTTTCATACATTGTCCATCTCCACATGAAAAGTAGGATACACCACAAAAATGTTCCTCACATTCAACTGATGGCATCATCATACAATTTTCCCACGCGGATAACTCATTATTATTTTCAAGTTCATCACTAGCGTCCAAACAATGTGGATAGTTATCAAATGAAAATATTTTTGGTATACAGATACCATTTCTACAACGATATTCTGTTTCGTTGTTACACTGGTTCTGTTCAAGTTGTAAACAGTTATATTCATCCTGTGCGTCACTACAATCAATTTTACCTAAAAAGTAACGTCAGTATGCAGTTGTATGAATCATAATAAAACATATATATAGTTACTAAAATATCTGAGATATTTAATCAGACCGCATCGTGATGAGAACCGTTTGTTAGAAACTTATCTAGTGACGAGTTAAGACTTATAAAAGATAAGCGAACAGACCGAACCAAAAAAATTCGATGCTCACTACTGTTGACCAAAAGAGGTAATTCTTGTGTAGTTTCATTATATTGTTAAAAAGGACAAACTGCAACACCTTGCATTCTTCCTGCTTTAAGTCTAGACGCACAGAGAAAAATTTGCCGAATCCGGAAGGTTAATAACGTTTTCTTGTTGGTGTAGGTACTCTGTAACAAAAACTGTATTTTAAAAAACGCTTAAGAGCGTTCGGGAAACTGAAACCGCATCGAACGAATAACGGTTTACGAAAGTACCTTTAAAGCGTTCCGGAAAGAGTTGGTCATGTCTACGAAACCTTTTATTCGTTTGGTGTGGTTTCAGTTTCTCGAATGCTTTAAGCGTACTGGAAAGGGTTTATTATGTTATGGGTGCGTAATAGTCAGGAGTATTTATTTTCCAGGGTGAACAATCAGCAAGTTACGTCTGTAGAAGAGCTGAATTCACTTTATTTACGGCTTATCTAACTGTGCTAACTCGCGTAACTTTCTGTGATATTCAGCAGTTAGAACAAATTTGTTGAACTTCTGTATGCTTTTAATTTTATTGCAGGTTTTGTAACGATAATGAATACATCCCGGTGAACAATCGATGATGGGCTTGCATGGCTGAAAACACTTATTAATGGTGAATGGTCCGAAATTCCGATGATTTTTCGACCCGGACCACAAGTCTTAAAGAAATTTCGAACCAAATCTTAATTTCCCCAATTAATTTTATAAATAATTAGTAAAGTTCATGGTGCTCAGCACTATGCATTTTTAATAAAACGTGGTGCTCAACAGTACGAAATGGTGCTTGGCACTACGACATAGTGCTTAGTTAGACAGCCTAGTACCCAGCACTATGCATAGTGATAAAAAATACTTTGACGATTCGGGCATTGGTCCAAACACAGGTTAAGTATACTGTTGAGGAAGCTGAGATTATTATTTTTTTCATTATTACGTAATTCATATATGGAAGTGTTACTTGATTTGTTTTCATTCTATGTTATTCTTCTATGCTGTGTTTCGACCAATATCCGAATCGTCAAAATTTTTTTTATCACTATGCATAGTACTGGATACTAAGCTGTCTAGCTAAGCACTATGTCATACTGCCGAGCACCACTTTTTATTGAAAGTGAATAGTGCTGAGCACCATGAAGTTTAATAATTATTTATAAAATTAATTGGGGAAATTAAGGTTTGGTCCCAAAGTCCGGGACAAAAAATTCGTGGGCCAAAAATTCAGGCCTCCCAACTCAATTTGGTACCCAAGCAAAAAAATGCCTCTCAGAACATCTAGCTATAAAAATACGTTATCGGTAGACCTGTGGGCCGCGCCACTGCTGTCGCCGATGGATAACGAAGGTTTCCGGCACCGCCGCCGAAGGCGTCAAATTTTTTGGATCAAGTCACAGCCGCCGCCGATGGATAAGTTAGATGTTTGCGCAGCCGCCGAAGGCGTCCAAGTTTTGTGGAGGTTCTCGCCGTAAAAGCTTGCTTTAGCCTTCGCCGATAGAAAAAGTTTTGCGTGAAAAAATCATGAGAACCAGACGGAATCACTGGTTCAGTATGTCTCTGTCATCTATATCTGCACAGGCATTATCGATATAAGATAAGAATATTTATTAGCCATAATTTCAATGGTCTCATACACAACAACGCTTTATAGAGATTTTAACTACCAATAGATATTCATTATTGATCAGTAATTCTTCTAAGTTATAGAATTGTTTCGAGGCACTCTACCATTCGAAAAAGACTTTCGAACGTAGATCAGACTGATTTAGACCAGTCTCTATTCTTAAACGATATGTTCTTCTGGAATAATTTCATAAATAACGGAAAGAAGACACTAAAGATCGGTCACTTCTTTCAACAATATCGGCTAAAAAAGACGGAAAAAAGACATGCATCTTTACTGTGAGGCTGATTGACGTTCGTTAATGAACACTAGAAGATAATATGAAATATATAGCGTTCGTTATTTTTATTTTTATATTGTTCACTTCCTCCGTAGACAGATACTAATTATTACGGCATGTTTGCCCTTCGTGATATCTTTATGTTTCCTTTCTATTTACTTTTATTTTTCTTTGTTTTTTTCTTGATGCATTTTTGTGTCCGTGTCTTTTGTGTTTTTTTATCAACCTTATTCCCTCTTACTTAGATTATTTACAGCTATATGAAGTTTTAAATCATGTTGTAATACTGCTATATTTTGTTATCCAGGTTGATAAATATGTGCATCGTTTTTATACTCAGTTCTGCAAGCATTTCCGAGCGTGACAAATAAACGGCTCAATCCATAAAAAACAGAATTAATTTATATTCTTTTTCGGTACGATATAACAATGTGTATTTCCTATGAGATACAACCGAACACACTCTCACATACTATTTAGTTTACTCACTTTTTAACAGTTAGTATTGGTGTATTAAGCAGTGAGACTGGAACCCAGTGTGTCAAAGCAGAACACTGACAAGATTTTCTGTTCGAACGAAACATTTTAGTAATAGTTAAGCTTACCATAACATATGTTCCTCCAGTCTAAACATATTGATCCACAATGACTAATACCTACATAACAAACCGTATTATCGGTATTCCATGCCCAATCTGTATGTGTGATAGCTTTCATCTCAAATTGTTCGTCAATTATAATATTAAACGGATCAATTTTAGTATGAGATTCCTCTAAAGTTATTTCAAGTTTACGATGAAATGTATATTCACATCGTTTACCAAATGATTGTCCGGAACAATTGCAATAGATTGATTGGGAATAGTCATCATTATTACTATTCAAATATCTCTCATATTGATCGTTTATGTCGATTGGTGCATACCATTCAAATAAATCTGTACTTGTTACATTTTTTTCTTTAAGTTGTTCAAACGTATACTGCATATCATAGCACTGAGTATTCTTAAGCTCACTACGGACAATTGCAACACAATAAGTTAAAAGTTGAACTGGGCCACGATTATGTCGATAATAACTCTGATGTTGATTCAAATACAAACATTCATAATCATTGGTTTCGTCCGTAGTTTGATATAACCTATAATACCCATTTACCGAACGTATTAAAGCATATTGATAGATAATCAAGAATAAAATTTTATACTTCATACTTTGGTGGTTTCAAACACACGGTATGAAATTACTTTTCTCCTTCGTATTTATAGTATTCCCTTTATAAAATTATGTTTTTCAATAGATGTTCATTTTAATGAACTAATAAAACATTCTTCTATTACACTACTGCTGAAAAGAGAAATTATAATTAAAAACGGTTTGATTGATTCAATAGTATTTTGCAATAATGGATAATTGCTGTTACTTAATATATGGTGGAGGATGACACATTCCTCAAACTCAGCATCACTATCTTTACAATTTGAAGAATGCTTGACTACTTTAGATATTATTATTCTGTTGTTTTTCACACATTTTTGATAAACGTGTCAAAGTCGAAATAGTTCACTTCTCTTTTTTCTCATATTCAGTTAAGACGTGTCTAAAGTTATTTCTTTTTTCGCCCTCTGGTGTGAGTGTATATATCTTACACATTCACATCTCGTGTGTTCGTTGTATTTATACAACTTGTACATGAGAATAAAAATGAGAAAATCTATAGTAATTTTTACGTACAGACCACTCAAATGATACTTATGACTGATCATAAGCAACGACGAGACAATGTAAATGAAGGAGATATAGTTAAGCAAAATGGAAGGTCTTACTACGTATTGAATAATAGGAATCAACAATATATGGGTCTAAATGGCAATAGTCATCAGGAGGCTCCTTTTTATCAGCACTATCAAAGTGAAAATGTTCGAATTAACTCAGCAACCCCAGTAAAACTTCTTGTAATAAGATCTTGGGTTAAGAAATGTCACAAGATCTTGGAAATACACCAAGAAGTCAAGATCTTGGATTCTTGAATTTTTCACTCAAGATCTTGAAACATCTTGGCTTACTTCAATCAAGATCTTGGGTTAAGAAATTTCAAGATCTTGAGTGAAGCCACTCAAGATGTTGTAAGAGTTGCGTGACAAAATTTTCTTTACATTTTGTTTTTATTTATGACGGTCGTAGCCATTGGATATACGACCATATAGAGTCATAGATTCTTCCTTAAACAACTGTGGTCAAGAAGGCAAAAAATTCGAAGTTATTCTAAGTATGAAAATAACTATGTTAATAATAATCTAAATTAACAACAGGAGATGTTACAAAGTTGAACAGTCACTGGTCGTGAAATTCAAGTTTGTATACCTTCGGTGGTATCAAATACTCCGGGCCAACATCCAAACGCACCAGTACTATCTGCTGCATATTGCCAACACAATTCCCCTCTACCGTATTAGTATTAACGTTAAATGCAATATGTCACTCTCCCACGAATTTTTCATAGTACACCAACTGGGTATTTTTCGTAGTGTATCACGGGAGGTGGGTGAGGGTGAACGACCAAAGAAAAAGTTCTTCTGGTTTCTTACTTATCATGGTAATGAAACACAGGTGTTAGCTGAAAAATTAAAAAAGATCTTAGAAAAATGTTATCCAACAACAGAAGTCACATGTGGTTTGAAAAAAGGTTTAATAACACAAAAATTATTTGCGAAAAATTACAAAGGTGTTGATGATCCGAATACCGATGAGATTTACACAATTAATTGTACTAAATGCTCAAAGATCTATTTTGGACAAACAAAGTTGCGAATGATGCAAAGAATGGAGCAGCGTCAGGCTGAAAGCAAATAAGAGGGTAAATCTGCAGCAGCTGATCACATACTTCTCTATTCTCTCTTCATCGACGATGGACGTATGTATAAATTTACATAACTACTACTCAGTTAGGTACCTTTAGCAGCCGTAATAATGATTGACAATAATTTGAACAGTTTAAATACTTCAACTGCAGAAGAAACGCTGTCCAAGAAATGGTATCATCAGAGTCATTTATCAAAGGAATTCAATCAGCATTATTTACATCGTCATTTATTGAAAATTTCAGTAAATCTATTGTGACATCTACTACATTTGTGCAATCCATCACCCAATTAATTGATCAGAAAGTACAGCATCACCATAATAAAATAAAAATACTAGAAAACGAAAATGGGCAATTGAAAAAACGTTTAACTGCATTAGAATCCAAGTCAATGATATAGAACAGTATTATAAGAGACGCGATTTAATTATTACTGGCATTTTTGACGCTCCGAATGAAAATACGACTTCAATTGTTATTCAACTGGCGAATGACCTAGGGATGAATTTAAATGAGAAAGATATTTAGGTCAGTCATCGTCTTCCATCAAAAGGCAAAATCAAACCAATTATTGTTGGCTTTATTCGATATAACGATACGAATAATTTCATTCAACGTCGTCGTCAACTGAAAACTATTGCTGGTTGTGAAAAAATTTATGTGAATGAACATTTGACACAATCAAATTCAAGCCTGTTTTATTATGCTAAACAAAATTTACCAAAATTAACTGTGTATACAAGAAACGGTAATATTTATTATCGTAATGGTGATAAAGCACAAAGATTAGGAGACTTTTCAGAGATTGGCGCGTTGTCAGGGGCTTTAAGTAGTTAGTTAGTCTACTTTTTCCTTAGTTCGGCTGTATAAATTGTCCTTCTTATTCAATGATCACTACTTTTTTTCTCTTCATTCAGTCCAAAATATTTTTTAATTTTCTTCTTCATTCCGAATTTCACTTGACTGTAGCTACATTGACTAAAGTCTTTTCTAACTTAGTGTCAACTTGTTCTTATTCTCTTCATGTACACACACACGCGCACAATTTATGTACATTTAATTTT